ATGTCAATTTTTTATATAATTATATATAATTTTATATAATTGTATATAATTATATATAACACATTTTTCCCAGGTATATTTATATTTTAAAAGAACACTGCATTATTCACAATTACTGTTTTATTCAGAAATGCTAAAATAAAGAAATAATCATTTTAATGTGTAAAGCTTACAAATTCTGATTTTATTTGAAGTTACCTGTATTTAACTTTATTAAGTTCGAATATTTCATGTTGTAAGATGTAAAATGTTCCTCACAATTAGCTATTATAATAATATAGCCCGAAAATAATAATAAAGGTAATAAGTATGAAAAACTAATTGCAATATTATTGTTCTTATGTAAAGATTAATACTAAATTTAAATATTCTTTAAAGAAAAAGAACATTATTATCGTAAAAAAGAAGTAGATCCAGTAAACGAGAATATATTAAAATAGATTGAAATTTTTTTTATCCGAATACATATTTTAAATAGCCAATACTTTATTTAATTGGATTTAATTAGATTCACTTGGATGCAATTGGATTTAAAAACTGCATTTTCTATTCAAAATTTTGAATTAAACAATATTCATAATGCATAGAAAAAGCTAATATTATTTTTAGATTGAAAGGCATAGAGATATGCTCCATGCAATTCTTATAAATAAATAAAAATGTATTCAGGAAAAAAACATTTATTTTAACATTCGTGAATCAATATTTCTGAAAATCTGAATCCATTTCAATTCATTTCAATTCATTCTCGTTTGCTGAGGAGTCAATTAATTCAAATCTATCAAATCTATCTTTTTTGCGCATGGGTAAATGAAGAGATCTGCCTTGTAATGTTCTATGTTTGTAATATGATGACCTTCAGTTTCATTACACTGTTGATTATCGATTATATATTTCAAAACAAAATCTTGTTCTTTATTGCAATCCATTGCAGTATCTACAACCAATTTTTTTAATTTTAATTGTTTTAGTAATTTATTCAAGCACAATCTGATAACAACAAAAAATACAGGGCAAGTAACAATGTTACAAAATCAGAAAACAAATAGATATATCGATGAAAATTCAACCAAAACAGTTATATATTCACCATTCGCTTCTTTGGCTTCTATTTCCTTTGGATCAGTTCCTACCACATGTAAACTTAATTTTCTGAAATCATTTCCGTTCAGTGTGTGTGTAAACCATTCTCGTACCTCCTCGATTTTTACATGCTTTATTGCAACAGTTTTCTTTTCGAATCTGTTAAACATGTATTCCCGCTTCGTAATCTCATTCCAGTTTCTATCAACTTCGTTTTTCAGAAACCCGTTACTGGTACATTGTTTCAATTCTCTTATTATTAGCTTTTCCTTAATAATATTTAATTCCTCTTGTGGGAACACTTCTAACATCTTACTAAACGACTTCAGAAATTCCTCGATCCGCTGATCCACGTGTTCTGTTGTATATTTATGTGCCTTAATGTGAACGGTAATGGAAAGTCCTAAAATGCCATTGTTATCTTGACGGACGCAGAAGACATTATTACTAAGCTGTTCTTGGATACATAGTTGATTCCTTATTGGTTCTTGCATTATAATCTGAAGAGATGTATAGATGAGTGTAACGTACAGATATAATCGAATGATGTTATTCATATTTTATTTACTTTAAATGTAAAATAAATATAAGTAATGAATATAAACTAAAAATTCCATGGCAAGCATTCAAAATACACGAAGCAATATTATACAATACTTACGATTATCAAATCAATTAATATAGATAATTCAATCGACGTGATACCGACTTGATAATAATTTGTAATTACAGAATTCGTATCAATTTTGTTCATATTTTTTAACTTGCAATAGGATGTGCCTAAGGGTATCTGAGTGATTCTCGTTTGAGGTATCGTATTAAAAATTAATGGAGAACATTTTATCTTTTTTATATAATTCTGTAAAGCCTCAATCATAAGATCCTTCATCATATCGCCTTGCACAAGACACTGAATGTATAGATAATCAGTGAAAGATTTCACAAATTTTTGAAATTCTTCAAAATTAATATCACGTAGAGCGATGTATGTGTCAATATGTGTATAATGGATAGTTCCCTTCAGTATCCATAATTTCACGTTCCTGTGAAAAGGAATAAAAATATTGGGTCGTCCGGAAAGTCCGTGCGGAAAATACGCACGGACTT